AATAATAATAATAATAATAATAATAATAATAATAATAATAATAATAATAATAATAATAATAATAATAATAATAATAATAACAATAACAATAACAATAACAATAACATTAAAAATAATAATAGTAATATTAATAATAACAAGAATAATGATAATGATGATGATAATAATAATAATAATAATAATAATAATAATAATAATAATAATAATAAATATTATTAATAATATTATTATCATTATCATTACTGTAATAGAAATAACAATAACAACAACAATAATAATAATAATAATAAAAATAACAATAATAATAATAATAACAATAATAATAATAATAATAATAATAATAAAAAAAAAAAAAAAAAAAAATAATAATAATAATAATAATAATAATAATAATAACAATAAAATGATCATAATAAAAATAATAAACAATAATAGTAATAATGATAATACAAATATTGTAAGAAAAATAATAATCATAACAATAATAATAATAAGGCTAATAATATCCAATAACTAGGAATAACAATAACAATGCTGATCATAATTCTAACAAGAACAGCACAGCAATAAGAAGACTACAAAAATAATAGTAACAGCAAAAGCATCAGACACAAACAATTAACCACTTCTGGCCCTTTCACTTAAAGAAAACTGTTAACTAAACAATCCATCTGTCAGGCATTCATTATCCCCTAAGAATTTTCATTTCTTTTTTCTTTTTTTTTATTCTATGCTACCTGTCGTTCCTGTCGATGTGCCTGTTGTTGTCGCCGTTCCAAAAGGAAAGCCTGCGGCAAAAGTGATTTCTGTGATTGACAACTGGGCTTGAATGAGACTCGTCTGCAAGAGGCTGATTCTCTCCAACTTTACTTAAAATTGAATATTGTGTTTCACTTTATTTCTGCTAAGTCTAAATTCTCACTTTTTTCTATAAGGTTAAGCTATATCTTGTGCAAATACAATTATATATGGATAAAATATATACATGTACACAAGCACATATAAATGTAAATGTAAACACACACACACGCACCCACGCACGCACCCACGCACACACGCACCCACGCACGCACGCACTCCACACACACGCACACATGCACCCACGCACCCACATGTACGCACATACACACATTATAATTCAATGTTTCAAGCAAACACCCATAGAAAAATATAGGCATGCACATGCTCACACGCACCCCACACACACACCACACATACACACATTTATCCATTCTCTCCTTTCTCTCGTAACACAGTACCCTTAAAGCCCAAGAAGGCCATTACCTTGAGCCGTGGTCGTCCCCGGATTAGTTGCCCCAAAAGTGAATCCTGCGAGGGAAGGCCAAAAGGGTGAACTATTCTGCATCTTCTCCATATTCTAGACAGTGAAATATATTCCTAAGTTCTTAATTACTCTCCTAATTCTTGCCATCTGGGGTCGGATTAAAGGACAGTTCCAGTGGCTAGAGCTCTAGGGTTTCCGCAATATCTTATTTTCCATTCTGTGATGAAAAATCATACAGTAACCCTACAGCATCACTGTTATGCTTAATCACTACTTCCCTTTCCATACCATTATCCTAAGAAACAAAAGGTGCCACACTTATGGTTCACAAAAACAAGAAATGAAAGAAACTAAATTTTTCAGGGCTTCCAGAAGTTACTGAACTAGGGCCTACACAGCCTATAATCTGACCCTCTTAGCAAAAAAAATTATACTTCATGCATTCAACTGCCAAACTTTGAAGACCTGATATTGGTGAAACATGTCTGCATATCACAAAAACTAAACTTCAAGGTATACCAACACAACACAACATCTATACAATGTTCACTTTACCAACAAAGCATTAACCTCACTGCTAGTCTTCTACATTACTTTACATAAGCAATTAAGACTATTCTTCTTACCACGACAGTCCACTTGATCTGGATATACAGAAAGCCCTGCCCCCTTTCGATGGTGCCACCGACAGACAACCTGTCATCTCACCACTCAATAATACAACTATGAAAGAAGTTCAAGAATAAAGTAAGACTTCTAAGATGAAAGATTAGCATGATTACCACTGTCACTGTATAATAAAGCCAAAACATTGGTAGAGCTAAAGTTGTTTTCCAAATGAGAGAATTTACACAAACTTCATTCACTCGCCTTCCTTTGATCACAATCACTGATCAACTAACTGCTTGACCACTGGCAGGAGATTGTGTCAAACCACCACTAACCTTGTTTTGCATTTGCCAATTCTAATGTGATTAATAGGGTATGAGACATAGCCCTGCCAACATGTACATTACACATTTCAAAACATATAGTTAATCTGACAAATTAAAATTCTCCAGTCAATTATGCTTGTATTAAAACAAACAGTAATAAATGAGGAACATAATCTAGAAATGATGAAAACTGTAAACCTGAGATGAAGAAATGCTATTACTCTGATTAAGTCAAATTTCATTATCAAGTATCAATTGAAAACATCCCTGCTAGCTGGGA